AGACTTGGTGTCACCTCTCAAAGAGATCACCTCTGATCACCTGACACCCACACTCGATTCACCCTTCTTTTTTCCTTCATAGCACATACCACTTCATGGTATTTTCTTATTTATTTAGGTGTTTATTTATTATTTTTCTCTCCACTAGAATATGAATCTTTTAAGAGCAGAGACCTTTCTGCCTTATTTTCCCCCACATCACTACCTAGAAAAATGTCCAGTATGTAGAAGGGCTTCAATAAATATGTATTTTCAAAACTGAATTAAATGAACAGATGATAGATTCATGGATGGAGTGATGGATGGATGAGCATATACTTGGGGGTCAATAAATTAATAAGAACAGAATCAGCCTATCCATGTTAGATAAGCAGAATATAGGCCAATGATGGTATCGGGTTTATTTTAACACCTTAGGGTACACACACACTGTAAACTCTCTCAGTATTTAATTCTATGACTGAATGCCTGTTAATAAATTGTGCTCATTCTCACATTGTTATAAAGAACTGGCTGGATAATTTATAAAGAAAATAATAGACTCACCATTCTGCAAGCTGTGTAGGAAGTATGTTTGGGGGGGCCCCAGGAAACTTACAATCATGGTGGAAGGACAAAGGGAAAGCAAGCATATCTTCCCATGGCAGCAGGAGAACATGGAAAACAGAAGTGCCACACACTTTTAAACCACCAGATCTCATGAGAACTCACTCGCCATTATGAGAATAGCAAAGAGGAAGCCCCATCCCCATGATCCAATCACGTCCCACCAGGTCCCTCCCTCAAGACTGGAGATTACAATTCAACATTATATTTAGGTGGGGACACAGAGCCATATCATATCAGTGCCATACATTGTCATATACTGTTATAATGGATCCCAACTTGTGAAAGCTCTGTGACATCCTGAATGTTACTAGTGATATCTTATATGTTTACTCCATGTTAATGGTCCTGTTGCCTTCCCTAGGATGTGTAAGTATGTATGCCTCACATAATATAGCAGAAGAAAAAGACCTGAGTCAAATTTTGAAGAATCACTGAACTCTTCACTTTAAATTCCAGTGTCATCTTTTGCAGACTTAACTTCCCTCCTCATATTTTTTCTCATTCATGAAATAGGCCTGATAACATTCTTTTCTTGAAGTATTATTTCAAAGATTATATGATAAAACACATATGGGTACACTTTTAAAACTTCAGAGTTCTCATCTGACATTATTTACTTCATCAATTATCATTTCAAATATTTTCTCTCATTTGTTCATAGTAAAAGCAATGTATATTTTTATATTATCTTTCTCTTAAGCATCTTGTTATTAATTGTTTAAGGCCACTTAATCTTGTGCGTATAATCATTTGCATTATGAATTGTAATTCCTTCGCTGGTTTTTATAACTGTTGAATTTAAGAGGATATTGGGGAAGTGGATAGCACAGGCAAACGGAAATTGGATTTTGAACCTTTTATTATGATGACATCCATTTGATTGTAGTCCACATGATTAGTGAAGAAAGTGTGCTGTTGTGACAACTTTGCATAATGAAATAAATATAAGGCTTGGATTTGCATATTACTTTACTGTTTAGGAGAAAAATAAGGCACCAGTAACAACGTTTGGTGCATATTGATTGGGCTTTTTCTGTGTCTAAGTGACCATGAGCATCTAAGGATGTAACATTGAGAAATACCTTCTACTTGAAAGGGGCTTCTACTTGAAAGGCGCTAAAAAGCCAAGATTACCTCAATTGAGGTCCTCTAAAGAGAAGCATGCAAATAACCTTACAGAACCAAGCTCATGGTTTTTTCAGCAATTTATAGTTCCAAAAGCAAAGCTTTTATATTCTGACTTCCTCACAACTGATAAATAGTGTCATCATAACATCAATTTTAAAAAGTAGGAAAATGCAGGATCACTAACTCAAGGCAATATATTGAAAACTCACAGACTAACACTTCATTCAAGAATTCCCATCACAGTGTTGCTTCCTTTGGTGGACTTTTTTGACTGTATGTGAGTGACAGATATCACTTACATCAGTATGTAATGGGTGATGTATGGTATGCAAATGTTGGAAACTGTTTTTTTGGGGGGTATTTTTGTTTGTTTATTTGTTTAAAGCAACAATATAGAATTGAGGACTGGTAATACTGCAAATTTGACACCATGACAATGAGATAGCTCATGCAAAAATACTTTGTATAAAATATAGCCATATATAAATATATCATGTAAATATGTATTTTTTGAATGGTGGGATTTTTTTGTTGTTTGACATTTTGTTTTTTGAGACGAAGTCTCGCTCTGTTGCCCAGGCTGGAGTGCAGTGGTGCTATCTCAGCTCACTGCAACCTCTGCCTCCTGGGTTCAAGCGATTCTCCTGCATCAGCCTCCCAAGTAGCTGGGAATGCAGGTATATGTCTCCAGCCCAGGTAATTTCTGCATTTTTAGTAGAGACAGGGCTTCACCATGTTGGCCAGGCTGGTCTTAGACTTGACCTCAGGTGATCCGCCTGCCACAGTCTCCCAAAGTGCTGGGATTACAGACATGAGTCACTGCACCCGGCTTGAATTAGGTGTTTTTGTTGTTGTTGTTGTTGTTTTAAAAAATTAATGTGATTGACCAGAAAGCATTGCAAAGATTGGGAGCCTTATGGCAGAGTGAGTTATGCATGTATATTTTCAAAATCGCTTATTGGTATTTGTCTTATATGATAACACAACAATTCAGAGCCAATGTGTTTCCTGATATGTTACTACTAAAGGGAGGCTGATAGATTAACCAACGAAGTAGAATTATGGATATTGTGATTAGAGATCTACTCTCTGTTTTAAAATAGTTACAAATTCTGTGATGATGTTTAGTTCAGCATATGGTCTTTAGAGGTATGCAACCAAATGGCACAGAGTTATTTTTAAGTCTGCCATATAATTTCATGATCAATTCTGGCCCTCTGGCTCCTCAAGTCTACTTACTGGACTACAGTAAATGGCCTGCAATAAAATATCTCTCTTCCTGCTTCATTTTTCCATCAAAACATCGTACAAATCAAGGACAAGATGCTTGAGACCCCTGTGATTACAGTATTCTTAAAAAGCTAAATAAGCTCCTGCCATTATTAAAATCAGAGTGTCATCATGAAAGTTTCTTAGTACATTTGTGAAGTCTGTAAAGATCTTGAAGTTTCAAATGGAAAGCAAAATAAGAGTCCAAAGAATCAATACCTGAACTTTCAACATTGAGTTTTTTGGAATGTGAAAATCAGATTATTATCTGCAGGTCTTAAGACTTCAATTCTATGGCTGTTTAATTTAATGATTCTAAAGTAATACAGTATGCCTTAATAAAGTCCTAAACAGTCCGAATTACATGTTTAAAAAAATCTTACTGTTTAAATTTAACATACCAAGTAATTTTTTTGTCAATGGCAAAGATGCAATTTTTACTTTATTAGTGTCATCTTTTACTAATACATTCTGATTAAGATGATTACTTATCCATATATTTTTATCCTCTTTGTAAAAAACTGTTTAAAAATTTGAAAGCCATCAGAGCTACTTACTACCTGAGCATGGGTTAGAAAAAGGAGCATGTTTATGACAATGAAAAAATGTTGCCATTGAGAAATGTCTTCCTAACTTGCAAAAATTTTATAATTCAGCTGCTAATTTTTTTCATATTTTCAGCCTCGATCTAAGCATAAACATGTAATTACTCACAAATGTTGGAATTTGATAGTAATTAAAATCTAAAATCTACTTGGTCATAATCACCAATCAAGTTGACTTTTCTATACTGATATTTAACAGTGGCAATTTGCTTCTTTCTTATTTTCAGAAATTCTGACAAATTATTTTAGCATATTTTTATCATGATTATCAATATATATTATACAAATCTAAATTGGCAAAATATTCAGTATAGTATATGAAATGTTAATGAAATTAAGAAAATCTTTTATTATATCATATCCCTACTTATTCAGAATTTTCAAAATTGAATTTAAAAGAAATGTACCTTCTGCTGAAATTTTACAAGGCAATTAAGAATTTAAATATATATAATTTTATATATATAATACAAATACATAATTTTTAAGATGGATTCACTTCATTTCTAATTTAAAAAACTAAACACATTTGGTATCTGAGAACATATCATTTGAGCATAATATGCTTTAAATATTAGTATTTTAAAATTTCATTGTAAACTTGTCTTGTTTCTCAGTTGCAAATTTAAAGATATATGTGCAGAATCCCAATATGTAGAATTGTGAATTTGGAAATAAAGTGCTAGAAAGAAATATTTTAATATCTTGATTTACTGAGTTGTACACTTTGTCATGTATAATGTTGTCAGAGGGTTTACCTGCTCTCTTTATAAAAATAATGTGTCTACATATATTTTATAATTGATAACATATCATTGGGTATTATAATATTTTTAAATGTTAACAGATTTGCACATTTTCGTTTTGTTGTAGAAGCATAACTGATGGTGGGTGTAAACATTTAAGTTATAAAATGTATAGTAATGAGAAATGCTAAATTACTACAAAAATGACTTTGACAAAAAGCTCAGCTGTATGATAATCAAGAAATAATGGATGGAAATATATTTCTTGAGAGCTTATAATTTGTAAGACATGCTAGTCTCCAGGAATATAAAATATGAGATATGTCTTTAAAGAGCATTATGGTTTTGTTGATGTGATCGAAAACAAAAAGCTATCAGTACAGACAGCAGAATCATAATGCAAAAGGAAAGCATCTATTAAGTGACTACTTTCAAAGCAAAGTAAGAACAGTGTCATGAGAAGCAAGAATTATTTCCTTAATGTAGAGATCAATAACAGATCTGTAAAGAGGATGAGGAGTAAACGGCATGGTGGTACAAATTCAAATCAATTAAAAAAATCTCCTATCAAATCTAACAGATACGTGTTGTATATGCATTATTTCTAATCCATTCATATATATATTTTTTATTTTGTTCCCAGAATGCTCAGGCCCATTGGGAATTGAAGGTGGAATTATATCAAACCAGCAAATCACTGCTTCCTCTACTCACCGAGCTCTTTTTGGTCTCCAAAAATGGTATCCCTACTATGCACGTCTTAATAAGAAGGGGCTTATAAATGCGTGGACAGCTGCAGAAAATGATAGATGGCCATGGATTCAGGTAACAGACGGGGTGGGACAAGGTTAATGTTACAATTCATTTTTAAAGGTTTCCAGGTTTTTTGTTTTTTTTTTTGAAACAGAGTCCTCTGTCACCCAGGCTGGAGTGCAGTGACATGATCTCGGCTCACTGCAACCTCCACCTCCCGGATTTAAGGAATTCTCCTGTCACAGCCTCCTGTGTAGCTGGAATTACAGAAGCACACCACCACACCCAGCTAATTTTTGTAGTTTTAGTAGAGATGGGGTTTCACCATATTGGTCAGGCTGGTCTTGGGACTCCTGACCTGGTGTTCCACCTGCCTCGGCCTCATGAAGTACTGGGATTGCAGGCATGAGCCACTGCGCCTGGCCCAGATTCTGGTCATTTTAAAAAGTGACAAGTTAGGAACTCAGTGTGACTCTTCTTTATGGTCAGAGGAAAGGGTAATTTAGTGAAGAGTTCAAATTAGCTCCCAACTCTGAAAAGTAAAAAAACATGCACATTCCGTTAAGAAGTTGGTTAAAGGGATCAAAAGCGTTAAAAATATTATCATATAAATACCGCTATTTTAAGGTGCATATCAAAGAAGGAGACTTTCTGTATGTCGTGTGTTCATTTATACTGTGCTAACATTTAACAGCAACTTATGATATTTCAGGAACATAAAAATTACATTTATTTTTTCTATCTCTAAGAAGTGGGTACAAAAGGTCAAGTATAAAATACACCATAAATTATGGTAATACCTCAAATGCACCTTCTTTTAATAGCTGAGGATGTTTCAATTCATAGTTTATTGATTTTCATCATCCAGCTATTTTTTAAAATAGGAGAAAACAACAGTATATTGAGATATTAAGTGATTTCCCAGAGAGGGTAGCAAGGCCCAGAACTTATATTTCTGTACAATTCAATGCTTTTTGAGCATTCAGATGAACTATGTGCTAGGAATACAAAAAGATGAACAAAACTGCTGCCTGTGAAACACTACACCTCTGTTGGGGAAAGCACATTAATAACCATGTAACAAGTCATTGATGTGTACTAAAGGGAGGAACAATTCTGCATACTATGGTCAGAGGAGGAATTCATGAATTATCTTGAGAAACTCATCTGGGGCAGATGGCTTTTGAGCTAGGCTTGAGAAGATGGCTCTCAATAGAGAATAAACATCCAGGGAACAGCCTAATCAAAGTTGCTACATGACAATCTGGGAAATATTATGTAGAAAATACATGACTTGAATAAAGGTTGCTGGAGGGATGTGTTAAAATTTAGTGTATAAGTTTGCTGTGCTTCAGGAGTTATACTAAAAGATATTATCCTTATTCCACTAGAGTAGGAAGATGTTGCACATTTTAATTAATTTAGGTGATTGATCTGTTTTGTTTACTACATATTTTAAGTCAAAGAAATGTAGAAATCCCTGATGTGACATAATTATGTATACTATACAAGGACTAGTTTGCAGGCATTTGGTATAAAGGAAAATTGATTTTTGGCTAAGAAGCAAGACTTTCATACTTGAAAAACAAAATTCTTTCAGAAACTTCATTTGTTCACGTTGCTTAGGCATTCTTATATATCACATATACATTTCTTTTATCTATAGAGCTCTGTAAGGTTACCTGAAGTTCTTGTTTTGTTTTATGAATTTATATTTACATGAATTTGTTAAAATTGCTTCTTAAGTTACATTTGACTTTTTCAATCTATAGCCACGTGTGCAAAAAGAACCCCAGATAGTGGAAATGGCACATCTATACATTTTTGATCACAGACTCATGAAGGATCAATTAAGGTTTAAAATATCCACAGAATAATAGAAAATGATTGTATTATATTTATTAATGAATAATCATTCCAAAGACATTTTAATCACTCTAGTTGAAATGCATTTGTAATATTGTGCTCATGATAAAACTTTAGACATTAATATTCATAGTTGAAATTCAGAACAGTTGAGAGATGATATCGCCAGTTTACATCAGGATTTCTGTTTCACAAATTATGTTTGTGAGCTTCAGTGATTGCCATCTTTCTATAAGCCATAAATAGCATGCTTTTTCTATGTTTACTTTGAGAAATACCTTATTAATGTTTCATATCCAGATTCTTCACTTTACTTTGTCCATGTATTACCTACTTAACACTATGCATCATTCTTTTTTTCAAAGTATTGCATGAACTTTAAATTCCCTTTATCCCAGTGGCTATAGGCAGAAATAACCTTAATGGAACAGGACAGTAGTCAACATTGTGAGAATTTTGGATTAAATATGACTGTTTATTCTCTTAAGAATAATAGTTACAACTTATTTTGTTCTTAAGGTCAGTAGGATGATGATTTGCTTTTGGTCTGAAGATGGTTATGAATTCAGAGAAAACCAGTTTAAGTAAATATGAAAAGCTTTATATTAGACTAAAAACCTCAAATATAATAGGTGAAAAACTAAAAATTATTGTTCAGTAAATACTTAATACTTATATTCAGTGTATTTATTTCGTAATTGTATTCTTTAATAATATATTTTTAAAGTTATTTTTTACAAAACTTTACCAATTTCTTTTTTTAAAAAACTTCTATGTTAGGTTCAGGGGTACCTGTGCAGGCTTGTTATATAGATATATTTTATGTCATGGGGTTTTGTTGTACATGTTATTTTGTCATGCTGGCATTAAGCCTAGTATCCATTAGTTATATTTCCTGGTCCTTTTACTCCCCCCATCCTCCACTCTCAGGTAAGTTCCACTATCTGCTATTCTCATCTATGTATCCATATGTTCTCATCATTCAGTACCCACTTATAAGGGAAAATATGTGGTATTTGGTTTTCTGTTCCTGCATTAGTTTGCTAAGGATAATGGCCTCCACCTTCATTCATGTTCCTATAAAAGACAGGGTCTCTTTTGTAGCTGCATATTATTCCATGGTGTCTACGTACCACATTTTCTTTACCCAGTCTACCATCGATTGGAATTTAGGTTGATTCCATGTCTTTGTTTTGTGAATGGTGCTGCAGTGAACATATGTTTGCATGTGCCTTTATCATAGAATAATTTATATTCCTTTGGGTGTATACCCAGTAATGCAGTTGCTGAGTCAAATATTAGTTCTGTTTTTTGTTCTTTGAGGAATCTTCACACTGATCTCCAAAATGGTTGAACTAGTTTACACTCCCACCAACAGTGTATAACCATCCCTTTTCTCCTCAACCTCAAGAGCATCTTTTTAGTAATAACCATTCTGACTGTTGTGAGATGGTATCTCATTGTGGTTTTGATTTGCGTTTCTCTAATGATAAGTGATTTTGAGGGGTTTTATTTCCTATGATTGTTGGCTGCACTTTTGTTTTCTTTTGAAAAGTGTCCTTTGCCCACTTTTTAATGAAGTTGTTTGTTTTTTTCTTGTAAATTTAAGTTTCTGGTAGATGCTGGATATTAGACCTTTGTCAGATGCATAATTTGCAAAAATTTTCTTCCATTTTGTAGGTTATGTGTTCACTCTGTTGACAGTTTCTTTTGCTGTTCAGAAGCTCTTTAGTTTAATTAGATCCCATTTGTTAATTTTTGCTTTTGTTGCAATTACTTTTGGTGTCTTTGTCATGGATCTTTGCCAGTTCCTCTGTCCAGAATGGTATTGCCTAGGTTGTCTTTCAGAGTTTTTGTAGCTTTGGGTTTTTTACACTTAAGTCTTTAATCCATCTTCAGTTGATTTGTGTATATGGTGTAAGGTAAGGGTCTGGTTTCAATCTTCTGCATATGGCTAACCACTATCCCAACTCCAGTGATTGATTAGGGAGTCCCTTCCCTATTGCTTGTTTTTGTCAGGTTTGTGGAGGATCAGATGGTTGTCACTGTGCAACCTTATTCCTGGCCTCTCAATTCTGTTCCATTGGACTGTGTGTCTGTTTTTGTATCAGAATAAAAACAGTATTTTGGTTACTGTATCCCTATTGTATAGTTTGAAATCAGGTAATATGATACCTCTAGCTTTGTGGGGCTTTTTGTTGTTGTTGTTTGTGCTTGTGGTGTTTTTGTTTAGGGTTGTCTTGGAGATTTGAAGATAGTTTTTTCTAATTCTGTGAGTAATGTCATTGGTAGTTTGTTAGGATAATTCAATCTATAAACTGCTTTGAGTAGTATGGCCACTTAATGATTTTGATTCTTCCTATCCAGGAGAATGAATTGTTGTTCCATTTGTTTGTGTTATCTCCGACTTCCTGGACCAGTATTTTGTAGTTCCCATTGTAGAGATGGTTTATCTCCCCGATTAGCTGTATTCCTAGGTGGGTTTTTTCTATTTTTGTTTTTTAGCAATTGTGGGTGGGATTGCATTCCTGACTTGGCTTGTCTGTTATTGGTGTATAGGAATGCTAGGGATTTTTGTATGTTGATTTTTTACTCTGAGAGTTTGCTGTAGGTCTTTAACAGCTTAAGGATCTTTGGGGCCTAGACTGTGGGGTGTTCTAGATACGGACATGTCCTCTGCAACAGGGATAGTTTGGTTTCCTCTCTGCCTATTTGGGTGCCACTTACTTTTTTCTCTTGCTTGATTGCCCTGGACAGGACTTCTAATACTATGTTGAATACAAGTGGTAGGAAAGGGCATCCTTGTCTCGTTTCAGTTTTCATGAGGAATGCTTCCATCTTTTGCTCATTTAGTACAATGTTGGCTGTGGGTTTGTCATATATGATTCATAATTTTGAGGTATGTTTTTTCAATACCTAGTTAATTGAAAGTTTTCAATATGAAGAGGTGTTACATTTTATTGAAAGCCTTTTCTTCATCTATTGAGATGATCATGTGGTCTTTGTCTTTAGTTCTGTTTATGTTATTAACCATTTTTATTGATTTACATATATTGAACCTACCTTACATCCTGGGGGTAAAGCTTACTTGCTCATCATGGATAAGCTTTTACTTGTGCTGTTGGATTTAATTTGCTTGTATTTCACTGAGGATTTTTGCATTGACATTCATTCAAGATACTGACCTGAAGTTTTCTTTTTCTGTT